TTGGAATAGAGCTAACCAATTTGAGAAGGAAAATGACATTGACCTACTTACAAGATCACAGGGAAAAATATGTCAAGCAACTTCTGAAGAAGAACCAAAAAGCATAGAATCTTATAATAATATTTTGCTGGTAGTTTCAACAGATGGAGCCAACAAAGTTTGCGAGGGAAATATTTTTAGTGCAATATAATATTTAATGAGAATATTTTGCTATGACTGCTTAAATATTCAGGTGAGCGATACAGGCCCTCTTGGGCCTCTTGTATTAATGGTTTTGCTCATCAACTCAGTTTCTCAACTATTTACTCCTTCAAGATGAAATTGTAAAATTGAAATGGCTGTTGAAATTCAAGCTGACTATTTGCTAGATTTTGAATTTAACCTGATTTTAATTTGTCATAAAAATGGACAGAACTTTTTAATTTTTAGCTCACCTGCCCTTTTAAATCTAAGCGTGATTCTATATGTGATATATAATAGAATTTAAGTTTTGTTGATGTCCAGCTCATACAGTTTGTGCATGAATATACATGTGTGTTCATACATTCCTTGGGGTTTTGTCAGTCCATGTCTTATTCTGTATAAGTGGGGTCAAGTTTTGTCTTTTTCTAATTAACTATGGGTAAGCTTCCTTGTAGGTGTACCATTAAAATTTGGGCTTATTGAATATAGTTCTTGAAGGGACTGATTATGGTTGTCCCTGTAAGAATTAATGGTGGACCCAACAGTAGGGGGTGGTGTACGTGTGACCTGACAATTAAAGAAAATGCAGTATGAGTTACCTCTAGATCTTGGATAATATGGATTGTGTAGCTGGGTTTTCTATTTTAGGAGACAGTACAGGGTCTAGTCAACAGTTAATAACCATGTCTCAAGATTGACCAATCAGGTTTGTGGTTGTTCGTTGCTTCTGCATGGTCCGTGCTATTATTACTATAGATTTGCATGAAGGGACCAGTTGTGTTCTAAAACAGAGCGACCAGTTGTGGTCTAAATCAAAATTTGTTTTTGTATGCTATTTATGTCTCCTGCTCTTTAAACATCTTGACATAGGGTAAGGTCTGAAAAGCAACGTCTAGATTTACTTTTATGCTAGGTGATCTACAAGCATTAATTTCCTCCTGACAAGTAGTGTTATTCATACTTCACTAGAATATGAACACAGCTCAATGGTTTCTACATGGATTTATCTGATCGGCTATATATAGGTGTTCAGATTCAGTGTAAAACATGTTGGCGGTAGTGTCTCTTGGGTGCATTTTCAGGACAAAAGAAGAGTATACATGATGGAGCTTGGTTACTGATATAAACAAATAAAGCAGTTAATGCCAAATCTATCCTTACTCATTCAAAGAGTAGTGGTTCTTGTCATTCGCCCACTGGACAGGAGCTAATAGGAGCTCCTGTGGAAGAGTAATGTTTGAATGCTAGTCTTGGACTGGTAGAGGATGTAGTGTTTCTTCATAAAGGTTAAGGTCAAATAAATTCCTATCAAGAAGATGACTGTCAATTACTTGTTCATCCTAATTTCAGTCAGTTCCATTGTATTTTCACAATTCTCTCATTCACTTTTGCCTACATGTATTTGTTTACTATATATATACTGTGGAATATATGAAGGCCTATAGGTGTGGGTTAGCTTTTCTTCTTCAACATTTCTAATCCAAACATTATTTTATTCTATCATATATGAACAGGTAGATTAAATCTTTTTTATCATGACAACTGTAATAAAATACATCGGACTAATCATCAGTGTCACCATGACCTTGATATCAGAGGTGGATTTTGAAACAGCATTGCATATGTGTGTATCAATTATTGGGAAATGAAAAAATATTGTTATGTCACCAATGTGTCCAAGGTCTATATAAGATTATATGTTTTCTGCAAGATCCCTCTTGTACATTTTTTGGTCAAATTAAAATCATTTATCGCATTGAATTTCTTTAAATAGCGTTGGAGGATGATACTGCACAACATAGGTATTAACTGTGGGTGTAGCCCTATTTATCTAAACGGCAAAGGCATGCATGGGTATGGTATCTAAGGTGACACATATTCTTTATTTGGTGTGTTGGCATTTAACATTCTTAATCCTCAATAAATCATATCAAGAAACACAGAGATGAATGCTCTCTTCCCTAACCTCACTTAAACAAGCAGTGATTAAATTTCATTCCTGTTTGCTTCATTTTACTCCCATTGACCCATCTGTTCATCATATGTAAACTATTTTCTCTCTGTAATTTTTAGCTCACCTGGTCCGAAGGAGGACCAGGTGAGCTTATGCCATACCGCAGCGTCCGTCGTCCGTCCGTCCATCAACTTTTCCTTTAAAACGCTACTAGTCATGAACGACAGAGCAGATTTTGACTAAATTTGGTCAGAAGCATCCTTGGGGGAAGGGAAACACATTTTGTATAAATTGTGGGTGTGGCCCCCCTGGGGGCTGAGGGGCAGGGCCCAATAGGAGAAACATAGCAAATTCTTTAAAATCCTTCTTCTTCTGTAGGAATGAAAGGATTTGTTCCATATTTCGTCTGAAGCATCCTTGGGGGAAGGGAAACCAATTTTGTATAAACCGGGGGTCTGGCCCACGAGGGGCCTGAGGGGCAGGGCCCAATAGGGAACACATAGCAAATTCTTTAAAATCCTTCTTCTTCTGTAAGAATGAAAGGATTTGTTCCATATTTGGTCGGAAGCATCCTTAGGTAAAGGGGAACCAATTTTGTATAAACAAGGGGTCTGGCCCCTTTAAACACATAGTAAATTATTTAAAATCCTTCTCCTTCTGTAGGAATGAAAGGATTTGTTCCATATTTGGTCAGAAGCATCCTTGGGGGAAGGGGAAGTGATTTTGTATAAACTGAGGGGTCTGAGGAGCGGGGCCCAATAGGGAACACATAGTATATTCTTTAAAATCCTTCTTCTGTAGGAATGAAAGGATTTGTTCCCTATTTGGTCTGCAGTATCCTTCGGTGAAGGGAAACCAATTTTGAATAAATGGTGGGTCTGGCCCCATAGGGGCCAGAGCGATTGGTACCAATAGGGGAAACATAGCAAATTCTTTTTCTTCTGTAGGAATGAAAGGATTTGTTCCATATTTGGTCTAAAGCATCTTGGGTAAATGGGAACCAATTTTGTATAAACTGTGGGTCTGGCCCCTTTGGGGCCTGAGCGGCAGGGCCCAATAGGGGAAACATAGCAAATCTTTAAAATCCTTCTTCTTCTGGAGGAATGAAAGGATTAGTTCCATATTTGGTTTGAAGCATCCTTGGGTGAAGGGGAACCAATTTTGTATAAAGAGACAAAAGTAGTCATGGTATTAGAATAGACCCTGGGGCCACAACCTTAGGGATCTAGTTTCTGAGTCACAGCTTGGAAACACTTGAGATCCCCACCCCATAACCATACATTAAATTGCTGGGCATGAAAAATCTAATAAAGACATACTACAAGAATTGGCATTGGGGTCTGGCATATACCCTTGGATCTCATTTGGAGAATATTTTGCCATGATTGCTTAGATATCCAGGTGAGCGATTCAGGCCCTCTGGGCCTATTGTATAGTACACCCTATCATGCTCGGTCTTCATACATCATCTGTACTCCCTGTGTTTTCTGTGGCATCAACTATTTTCCATGTGATATTCGCGTCATATGTTCAACTCAAAGTAAATGAACAGCAGAATATACATTTACGGTCAGTGTGGGATGGGAGACAACTCCTACAAAGATTGTGGAATATTTTTTGCTTTGATGTGTCATAAAAAAATCTTCAAACAAAGCCATGCTAAACATCTGCTGAAATAAGGGATGAGCGTTTGTTAAGTCCAATTCATTATTGTATATAGTCAATAATGATGATATATTGCATATAATGTCCATGGATTATGATTACCTGTCCAGCACCAAGGAATTCAGATGATAAGATGTACATTGTTTGCCAACGTTTTACTGTGACAGCATGGCTCCCTTTCTAATATCCTCTTACCCAGTACTTACATATCTCCTCATAGCCTACAGACAGACTCACTCAGCATGTCACTGTTAGTGTGAATGGTTGAGTGACAGTCACAGCAGTATTCATCATTATCTCTGTCTGCTGAATGCCCCAAACTTCCTCTCTAAACCTCATTACTGATTTAATGAATTTGGTGTCACTGACATAATTAATTCCATTTTTTTTATATGATATTTGTATAAAGCAAAATATGAAAAACACAGGTATAATTTGTTTGATTTGTTATAGGTAATTAAGGCCTAAAACTTGAATTGTTTTGTACAGTTAAAATTTTGTTCAGTGAATTGCCCTTATTCAGATAGAAAATTCAGAGAACTGTAAAAGATCTGATTTTAAATGTCAGAAAATATTTTCTGATGTTTTTGGTGTTCTTTTTGCAGTGTGATAATTTCTGATTCATTAAGCCAGAAATTATTACACTACTTAAGTAAATCAGGTTTGAAAAGAAATACAAATTTGATCAAATAAACAATATTAATTGTAAGTTCTTAATACCTTCAAAAAACATAAATCGTCATATCACTTATTCATACTTCATACCTATCATTGTTTTTCCAAGGAGAAGCAACTTGATTTCATTTCAAAACATCCATCAAGATCTAACAATAAATCTAACAATGAAAATTTATTCAATGAAATTGAAATGAGTTTGTAATTGATGTGCTAAGATTTCAAAACAAATGAAATTTACTTTCAATTGATTTAATTATGTTGCAGTAAATAGCTATGGAGCCCATGACAACAATGGCATGAATCTTGAGTTAAGATGATGGAGGTCGCTGGTGAAGGGTGAAAAGGAATGAGGTTGTGCCCTCTGGTGTGAAAGGACTTATCAGCAGTTGTGTTACCTACAGAGAGATAGAGGCACCTCCAGGTGGTAAAACACTGACTCATAGAGATGATGCTCACTAGTGAGTGAAATCTAACTGATTAGGACACTCCCTAGTGTGTAAAAAGCTGGCTAATAGTGATGATCCCTAGTGAGAAAATGTGTGAAATCTGACTGAAAGTTTCCCCTGACAGGAGAGCTCTGGTTGCTGGGGAGCCATAAGAACAGTTACAGGAAGCTGAAGATTTCAACTATTAATTAGGAGCTGGTTAGGCCCACTATTAATCCAGACCTGGTTTGGAGCATTGTCGCTGATTCTTTCAATTCTTACTGAGATGTAATTCTTTGGCAACCAAGAATTTCTACTGTTTGTTTGTCAAGACCAAAATCTTTCCATTGACAACCAAAAACGTCAAGATCTAAATGTATTCGTGCATGACTAGTTTGCTAAGAATAATGTTTGCCCTTAGATAGGTATGGATCTCAACTGTTTGCCAAGATCTATGTCTCTTCATAGGTAGCAAAGGATCTCAAAATCTACTACAGTAAACCATGGTTATAACGAATCCCAAAGGACCTGCATATATAGCTACTTAATCATTTCTTGATAATGATAGCTTGTATTACGTGTAAATCAAATTTTCAAGAAAAACATTGCTCTTTATGAAAATATGTATACAAATAAATAAACACACATCCTTTTTTCAAAATAGTATGCAAAGTGTTGGGAAGAGTGTTTCATAACACACTCACTTTATTCAGTAGTCTATTTATATACACATCGAAGAACATGAAAGCAAGTGTTCAAAAGTCGTACAAAACACAAAAGAGCAAGTAACTATACTAAAAGGGGGGCTCTTGTTGACCATGGTTGTGATCACTGACTTCTCACATTTCAGAAAATGGGTTTGTATTAGAGTGATAAAGTAACAATGAATTTCACTTGAGGGGACTGCTGTTTTGCTTTATAATAGAGAATAATTTGATATGTGAAATTGGCAATACATTTATATTATTACATAGAAGTAAGAGGGAGATGAGCTGGAGAATCAGTTCGCAAAGATTATGAAAAAGCAATAAGTGTGTTCGTACTAAATATGTTTAAAGGGTCTGGTCGGGGGAAAAAATACAAAATAAATGGGTCTTAATGCGTTCTCTGGCCTTCCAAAAGTTATACCACGCAAATATGATGGTCGAGTTCTGCTTGCATTGTCCAGTTTTGACCACTGAAATCTCGGAGAAGCCCCGCGTAAATTTAGGGCAGATCTATTTATATATGTCACGTGGTTGTTTCGAAAGTGAGGCAGTGAAGATAACAACAATAGCACGCCGTCATGTGCCATGTCGGACTCAATTAGCGGACAAGACAGCAATACTATACGTAAATAATTGTTTTCAACGGTCATGTATGATGCATGTGTAGTATTCCTACCTATATGTTGTTGTTATATATAACGGTATTGATACCTCGTGCCTGTCATGACTTTTACATGCATCTTTTTCTTTCGCCGCAATGTTTGCATTTGGCCTTGTTGATGACGCGCGTGCGGTAAAATTACATCACTGATCTGGGTCAATTGAGAGTTTTAGACTGTCAGGTGACGATTTAGGATTTCTTTAATATAATTATAATTTTTACTCTTAGGGAGTGAATTTCACCAAAATTTGTATCGTTATATTTCATAAGAAGTTATTTTAAACATGTGTATGCCATTTTAGCAAATATGACATTTTTTCCCCGACCAGCCCCTTTAACTGTATCAAGATCTAAAAATCTGCCTCTCTTGACATCAGCTTTTGAAAAATTAAGCAAGGTTCATAGAGTCACGAAGAACATGTTGAATGCATGTAATGTAACACTTCTCTTGACTTAAAGCCTTATACTATCGTAAGAGAATAAAGTGTTCTTCATCACAAGATCGATATCACTGCAGTTTCCAGACATTTCAATAAAATTTGTTTCTTTACACTGACAAAGTTGTCTACTTGGTCCAGTTTGTATGGCTGTGAGATTTTAAGATTACATGTGACCTTTTCTTGATTTGCTTGATTAATGAATGACAGCTGTCAAGGTGAAGGACATTTCATGAGGTCAAAATCAATAACATGAGTTCAAGACTGATTGACCAATACTTTATTTTCATTCATTTCATTTGTCAAGGACGGAATGGGGTCAAAAACATTGACATAAGGTCAGGTTTGATCGACCAATACTTGATAATATTGTATATAATTACACAATATGGAAATGTGTTGAATGGTTTTCTTGTGTGGCTTTAACTTAAATGCATCATGTTTACATATTTATTTATTTTTTATATGCTGAGAATCACTTTAATCATCTCCAAAGGATAATATACTTTTACACAAATCCATTAAATAAATCACTAATGAATAATTTTTGGGCTCTTGTTATGACATTGTGGACAGCAACATTAACAGAATTGTTATAATGTCATGCTACCTAAGACATATTATACATGACATCATTTATCAGTGATCATTAGTTAGGTACAAGAAAACAGCAGTCATTGAAAATGGATGTGGCATACCGTAAATTGGAGTATTTTTAGCCCACCATTATCAGATGGTGGGCTATTCAAATCACCCTTGGTTTGTGGTCCATCTTCTTGCTGTCCGTCCGTCCTAAAATAATTCTTGTTACTTTTTCAGGCAGCCATATTGAATTAAAGTTTGTAAGAACTATTTCTCAGAAAATACACTGGAGGGATGTTTATCAAATTTCACAAGAAGGTTTCCCTTGGTCCTCAATTATGCATATCGAATATTGAGACTGATCAGAAAACAAAGATGGCCAACAGGCAGCCAACTTGAATTTTGAGAATGAAAGTGTCTGTTTTTCATAAAAGTACTATTTTTGAAAGTACCAATTTCACACGAAAGGTTCCCCATGGTCCCTTGTTATGCATATTGAATTTTAGGACTGAAGGGAAAATCAAGATGGCCTACAGGTGGCCATACTGAATGGAAGGCAATCACTGAATGGAAAACCAAGATGACCAACTGGCAGTCATCTTGCATTTGAGAGTTAATTTTGGTAAGAGCTATGTCTCGGAAAGTATAGGAGGTATCTTTTTCCAATTTCACATGAAGGTTTCGCATGGTCCCTTGTTATGCATATTGAAATTTAGGACTGAAGGGAAAACCAAGATGGCGTACAGGTGGCCATATAGCATTTCAGAGTTAGAGTTTGTGCTATCTTTCAAAAATTACTAAAGGGATCTTTCCTAAATTTCACATGAAGCTTGCACATGGTCCCTAGTTGCGCATATCAAATTTTGGGACTTATCGAAAAAAACAGGATGGCCACAAGACAGCCATCTTGAATTTTGGCAGTTCAATATTCTTATAACTTTTATATATGTATGTTCCTTTGGTTCTTTTGTAAAAATATACCTGGCCCTTATGATAATTCACCTCTATTGTCAGCACTTCTAATTGTGTAAGTACAAATGTTCAGCATTTTGCATATAGGAGTGATCAATCTACAATTAGTTTGTACGAGTCTTTTTCAACTGGTATGGTTAAAAGATATGGGTCCGACCATCTTGAATTTCAGTATTTGCAGAAACTCTACAGGTCAAATAAAAATACTATTGGTACAGGACCCAGGACTTGCATGTAAATTTATCACTCATTTATATAGTAATGTATAGTCACATTTGTCATAGTGGCAAATAATATGACATTACAAGGTTTTAGTGAATGTACAAGATTTCGTTTAGGATTTCCAACATGGGACACCTGGGTAATAGTACCTGTAAGGAAAATGAAGAGCAAAGAAGGTAAAAGATCATGTTTGTGTAGATCAGATAAAGATCCTTTGATGGTGGGTGCCAAGATCCTTCTAGCATCCCTTTTTTCGAATTTGAATCTTATGCAAAATGATCAAAAATATGACCACAGTAAAAATAATCTGATATACGGTATACCATTTCTTCCAAGTGAAACTGACAAAGGGCTGGAACCTGAACATTTTCTCATTTTCTCACAGTGATTTATTCAATGGATTTGAAGTCACTCTACTTTTTCTTGATAAACATAATTTATATATATTTAAATATGTAGATGTATATATTTGTTAGGTGATATCATGTATTACTTGTGGTTTGTTTTCTGATCTCGAATAGGTATGATCCAAGACTTTTTAGCTCACCTGGTCCGAAGGACCGGTGATGAGCTTATGTCATGGTGTGGTGTCCGTCAACTTTACACTACTTGTCATGAACCACTGAGTGGATTTTAACAAAATTTGGTGGGAAGCATCCTTAGGTGAAGAAGAACCATTTTTGTATAAATGGTGGGTCTGGCCCCCCAGGGGCCTGAGGGGCGAGCCCAATAGAGGAAATATAGCAAACTCTTCTTTAAAATCCTTCTTCTGTAGGAATGAAAGGATTTGGTCCATATTTGGTGTGGAGCATCCTTGGGTGAAGGGGAACCAATTTTGTATAAACGGTGGGTGCAGTGGGCCCCCTGGGGGCAGAGGGGCAGGCCAAAATAATGGAAATAGAGGTAAAACCTTTAAAATCCTTCTCCTACCATAGGGATTAAGGGATTTTATTCTCATTTAGTCTGAAGCATACTTGGGCCAAAGGGACTCAATTTTGTATAAACGGTGGGTGTGGCCACCCTGGGGGCAGAGGGGCGGGGCCGAATAGGGGAAATAGAGGTAAAATCTTTAAAATCCTTCCTCTACTGTAGGGATTAAGGGATTTTATTCCAATTTTTTGGAGTATCCTTCGACCTAGAGAACGCAATTTTGTATAAACGGTTGGTGTGGCCCCCCTGGGGGCAGAGGGACAAGGCCAAATAGGGGAAATAGAGGTAAAACCTTTAGAATCCTTTTTACTGTAGAGATTAAGGGATTTTATTCTAATTTAGTCTGGAGCATCATTCGGCCATGGGGACTCAATTTTGAATAACGGTGGGTGTGGCCACCCTAGGGGCAGAGGGGCAGGGCCGAATAGGTCTAATAGAGGTAAAACCTTTAAATCCTTCTTCTACCGTAGGGATTAAGGACTTCCCACCCTTCGTGGAATGTTTTGTTTACACACCTGTACATTTCACGTGCTAACACTACTTCACAAGTTCTGGGTCGCTACAATTTTTGTTGTCGATTGAGTTATGCTCTGTTAGGTAAATCATTTTACAAATGCAATAACAATAACTCTGTGAAAATAGTGTTTTGTAAAATATCAAGATCCCTACAAAATGCTACCATATTAAAGTCTATAGTTACGTATGTACCTAACATGTAAATATACCAGGCGTAAGCAGGCTATGGAATGATGTCCAAAGTGTACGTGATTTAGAGTAATTTTGATCTATAAAAGAACAGTAAATTGACAATTTTATTATCATAAATTAATTTGTTTCCATCATTTTTGGTATAGTAAAGAAAATAACTGTCATTGTATCAATTTTATCCCTCTGCAAAAAGTTCCGATTTTTTTCAAGGTAGACAACTCTCATCAAGATCAAAATGATTGTAAAATGTAAAATAAATGAATTATTAAGACTTTGTGTGTATTTGGTTCAATTTTTCACTCTTTTTGTATGAGACTTTGTGTCCTGTTTGCTTTTAGCTTGTATATAACTACTTTTATCGATACAATTTCATAAAAAAAAACACTTTCGAATAACGTGTTAAAGATATTTTATGATATATAAAATATTTGTAGGGTTGATTAGCAATGCTTCTTTTCATTATTAGCTCACCTGGTCCAAAGGACCAAGATGAGCTTATGCCATACCGTGGCGTCCTTTGGACGTCCGTCGTCTGTATGTCAACAATTGCTTTAAACGACTTCTTCTTAACCATTGATTGGAATTTAACCAAATTCGATTGGAAGCATCCCTAGGTGGTGGGGATTCAAAATTTTACAAATAGTTGCGCCGAGCCCCCAGGGGGCTAAGGGGCGGGGGCAATTAGGCTATATTGCTTTAAGCAACTTCTCTGGAACTAAATGATTGTTATCAACCATATTTGACTGGAATCAACCCTAGGTGGTGGGGATTCAAAATTGTACAAATGGTTGGGCTTAGGGCGGGCCAAAAGGGGGCAATTTGGCTATATTGCTATAAACAACTTCTTCTTTCAAACTATGCCATGGATATTGATCTTATTTGGTCGGAAGCATTCATGGGAAGCAGGGATTCAAAATTGTACAAATGGGGGGGCTGACCCCCGGCCTAAGGGGTGGGGCAAAAAAAAGTGTATTACTTGGAAATGGTTGTGATCCCTACCATAAAACCATGGTATACAATTCCTGAGTATAAAGAGAAGGGAAATATAGCAAACTCTTCTTTAAAATCCTTCTTCTACAGTAGGGATTAATGAGAGACCCACCCTATAACCGTATATACAATTGCTGAGTATAAAGAGATGATTGCACATATGCTTCCAGGATGGCCTTGGGGACTGCCCCACCCTTGGAGACTTGACCCCTGGGTCATAATTTCGAAATGGTTGAGATCCCCACCCAAAACTTTATATACAAATGCTGGGCAAAAAATGACAAATGCAGTCATGATATTAGAATTGATCCTGGGGTCTGGCCACAACCCTAGGGACCTAGTTTCTGAGTCAAAGCTTGGAAACAGTTGAGATCCCCACCCCATACCCATACATGCAATTGCTGGGCATGAAAAAATCTAATACAGATATGCTACAAGGATTGGCCTTGGGGTCTGGCATATTCCCTTGATCTCATTTGGAGAATATTTTTCCATGATTGCTAAGGTATCCAGGTGAGCGATACAGGCCCTCTGGGCCTCTTGTTTTATAAACGGTGGGTGTGGGCCCCCCCCCCCTGTGGGCAGAGGAACGGGGCCAAATAGGGAAATAGAGGTAAATCCTTTAAAATCCTTCTTCTATCATAGGGATTAAGGGATTTTATCCTTATTTAGTCTGGAGAATCATTTTTGCTGCAGAAGAAAATACAAAGCAGACAAGTCTATAGAAAATAATAATTTATTCACGCAACATATAACAAAATAAAATTACACATCTGAATAAATCAACAAATAAACAGGTAGTCATGAAACAATTTTATCACATATATCAATCTACCTGTATTGTAAAGTGGTTGTTTATTTTAAGTACATGTACCTTAAATTGAGGTCCTGTTCAAATGATTTAAACTTGGTACATTGTATTTTATGCCTCCTTGAACAATTTGAAAACTATATGTAGAAATATATATAAACTATAACAAGAGGCCCAAGGGCCTTAGCGGTCACCTGAGTTATATCATAGGTACTGGTAGCTTTATTTTATTGTTTAGATGTGATGTGGAAATCAGCATGTAAACTAAGTGAAATACAATACTAATGTCATGTCATCAAAGGATAAGAATTTTAAAATATTGGTCAATGTTCCCTTTGGGGCCCAACCCTAGCCCCTGGGTATGGGGCAGGAATCCCAATTTTTCAATGTAATACCCTCATTCACCAAAGATGATTCTGAATAAGTTTCTGCTGAAAATGGATAAAATATAAACTATAGTAAACTTTACCCCCTCCCCAAGCGAGTAGGGATAGCTCGGGGGTCCTGAAATTGACAATTTCAATAGAGCCCCTGATGATCTTTCTTTCCATGCAAAGAAAATGACTGTAGTACCTCTGAGTCTGGAGAAGAAGATTTTTGAAATATTGGTTAATTTTCCCTTTGGGGCCCCACCCTGGCCCCAGGGGTTAGGGTAGGAATCCCAATTTTACAATTTTGTAGGCTCATCTACCAAGGATGATTCTGACAGAGTTTGAAAAGAATCCATTCACTGGTTCTTGAGAAGAAGTTGAAAATGTAAAAAGTTTTCGCACGACGCACGACGACAAGCGATTAGAATAGGTCACTTGAGCAAAGCTCAGGTGACCTATAAACCAAGTTTAACAAGTTTAACAAGACATGGTGAGCTTATGCTATACCGCAGCGTCCGGCGTCCGGCCGTCTGTCAACTTTTCCTTTAAAATGCTACTAGTCCTGAACGGCTAAGTAGATTTTTACTAAATTTGGTCTGGAGACTCAATTTTGTATAAACGGTGGGTGTGGCCCCCCTTTGGGCAGTGGGGCGGAGCCGAATAGGGGAAAAAAGAGGTAAAACCTTTGAAATCCTTCTTCTACCGTAGGGATTAAGGGATTTCATTTTAATTTAGTCTCGAATATCTTTTGGTCAAGGGGACTCAACTTTGTGTAAACGGTGGGTGTGGCTCCCTTGGGGGCAGAGGGGTGGGGGAAATAGAAGTAAAACCTTTAAAATCCTTCTTCTACCATCATAGGGATAAGGGGATTCTATCCTTATTTAGTCTGGAGTATACTTGGGCCAAGGGGACTCAATTTTGTAAAAGAAACAGTGGTTGTGACCCCCTTGGGGCTAGAGGGGCAGGGCCAAATAATGGAAATGGAGGTAAAACCTTTAAAATCCTTCTTCTACAGTAGGGATTAAAGGATTTTATCCTTATTTAGCCTGGGCATACACGGGCAAAGGGGACTCGATATTGTATTAAAGGTGTGTGTGTGTGGGGGGGGGGGGGNGGGGGGGGCAAATAGGGGAAATAGAGGTGAAACCTTTAAAATCCTTCTGATGTAGGGATTAAGGGATTTTGTTCTAAATTAGTCTGGAACAACCTTGCATATTGATCTTGGTGTGACCCCCCTGGGGGCAGAGGGGTGGGGCCCAATAGGGGAAACATAGCAAATTCTACAAAATCCTTGTCCTTCTATAGGAATGACAGGATTTTGTCCAAATTTGGAAAAAAGTATCCTTGTGTGAAGGGGAACCAATTTTGTATAAACGGTGTGTCTGACCCTACTGAGGGCAGAGAAGCAGGGCCAAATAAGGGATATAGAGGAATAGCTTTAATATCCTTTTTTCTTTCGTTAGGATGAAGGTATTATGACCTTGAATAGTAGCATCCTATGCCGAAGAGAAATCAATTTTGTGTAAATGGTGTGTCTGACCCCCTTGGGGCCTGAGAGGTGGGGCCCAATAGAGGTAATTTAGCAAATTCTTGAAAATTCTTCTTCTGTAGGAATAACAGAATTTTGTCCATATTTGGTATAAAACATCATTGGGTAAAGGCGACCTGATTTTGTATCAAAGGCGAATCTGACCCCCCTTGGGGCAGAGGGGCGGGGCCCAATAGGGAAAACACAGCAAATTCTTCAAAATCCTTCTTTTCCTGTAGAAATGACAGGATTTTGTCCAATTGCATTAATATAACCCCTGACTTACCATGTAATACATGTACACTACCAGCAACATCTAGCTATTCCAACTTCAATTTTACTAACATTTCCAGGTGAGCGATAAAGGCCATCTGTGCCTCCTGTTTCAAACGCATTTCTATATGGAAATTATTTGATAAGAAGTTTGAAAAGCTATTATGTAGGCTGATATCTTCAATCATCAGTTGGATCTAAAAGTTTGTCTGGCTTGAAGTTGTTCCTCAGATATTCTCTAGAATTTACATCTGCCTGCAATATAAAATCAAAGTACTGAAAATAAACTGACAAGACACATGCTTTCTTGGTGTTGTAATATTTCCATAGGTATATAATATAGGAAAAAGGAACACATGCTGAGATGCAGGATAAACACCAATTATACATTTGTTGAAACTAATGAACCTGATATTTATAAGCTCAGGTGGAGTCCATCGTCCGTCCGACGTCCGTCCGTCAACAACTTCTGATTGGAATTTAACTTAAATTGGCTGGAAGCATCCCTAGGTAGTGGGGATTTGAAATTGTACAAAAAGTGGGGCTGAGGGGCGGAGCCAAAAGGGGGCAATCAGATTACATTGCTATAAACGACTTCTTCTCTAGAACTATGCACTGGATATGAATCATATTTGGTTGGAAGCATTCATGGGAAGTGGGGATTCAAAATTGTACAAATGGAGGGGCTGACCCCCCAGGGGGATGAGGGGTAGTGGGGCCAAAAAGGTTATTTGGCTATACAGTATTGGTTAAAGCGATGTCTTCTCTGGAACTAAGCAATGGATATCATCCATATTTGATTGGAAGCATCCCTTGGTAGTAGAAATTCAAAACTGTACAAATAGTGGGGCTGACCCCCCAGGGGACTAAAGGCAGGGCCAACAAGCAAATTCGTGGAATTAATATCCCCCACCTTCAGGACGTATTTAAGGTAAACATTATTGAGGTAAGGTTTAAACATGCGAGTATCATGCGGTTGAGACATAATGTATAGCTTGAAACTCGACGAAAAAAACACCTTATCTCATATTTATTATGCGGAAACTGCAGATAATGACTCTGCCAAATGGAGTCCAATTAAAGTGGTTGTCAAACTTGGCCGAGCCCTTATTGCGTTAAACCCTGTTACTAAGTTTGAAGACCATCAGATAATATTTGCGAGAGTTAATGAGCAGAAACGGCAGATAATGACGGGTGAGCTAAAAAATGAAGAAGAGGCCCAATGGGCCTGAATCGCTCACCTGGCATTAATCTCATACTTGTAATCTTAAAAGTGGACTAAAATACAACTACAGGCAAAATATCAGTGTTTGATTCATAAGAACCTATTAAAATATTTAAACATATGACGCCTGTGACCTTGAATAATGAACAAGGACATTAGGTTGAACAGAGTTTATAGTCTTCCAACCCAGCATGCTTCTAGCAAAATATCATTACCCTGGAACTTTTGGTTATACAGAACAAATCATTTAAAGATTTAAACATATACTGACCACTGTGACCTTGAATATTGGCGAAGGTCATTCATTTGAACAAACTTGGTAGTCCTTCATCCCAGCATGTTACTGGCCAAATATTCAGAAGAAGTCATTCAAAGGATTTAAACATATTTTACCCCTGTGACCTTGAATATAAGTCAAGGTCATTTATTTGAACAAACTTAGTAGCCCTTTATCCCTGGCCAAATATCATTATCATTATCTGGACGGACGGACTGACGGACGAACGGACGGACGACGACGGACGCCGCACCATGCCGTAAGCTCACTTGGCCCTTTGGGCAAGCTAAAAATGACAACTTGGTCTTAATTGGATTACATGCATTGTTATTTGTACAAATTGTGTCAAAATATAGGACATCTATTATTTATTAACCAATTTAAAAGGATCTGTAGATGTCACAAACATACCAATCGGACAGGTTCAGGCACTCTATATTTACAGCAATGGTGGACGAGCCATGTTGCTGAGCCCAGTGAGATACGATGTCCAATGGAGACGTAGATAGGATTGATACTGGTGTTGTGACTCCTCAGGGTCTGGGAACATGTCAATGCTTCGTTATGTATGAGACATTAAAACATATATAATGTAATCTATATTCTTCTCTTCTTAATTCTTATCTTGGTTAATGAATACATATTTCTAGTAAGTGGTAATGTAGCATGATGGAGAGTATAACTATTCTTTCTGCAAATTGTCAGGGTCTAAGGGAAAAAATGAAAAGAAGTGACCATATATATTATAACTAATATGAAACAAAAACAATTTTATTGCTTACAGGACACACATTTTACTGAAGAGAACCAAAATATTATCAGAAATGAATGGGGTTTTACTGCAATTTTAATTCCTTCAAGTCCAACGCTAAGGGAGTAGCTATTCTTATAATACTTTTGAAATTAAGGTGAAAAATGAAAAGATAGAAATCTGAGGACATTTTTTGGCCCTTGATATTGAATCAAAATAATGGTTCAAAAGTTACTTTAATGGCACTATCAGTGGCCCAAACAAGGACACCCCAAACTCTTTTGATATTTTAACTGATACAATTGATACCTTTGGGAATAATAGAGTTATTTCATGTGAAGATTTCAATTTAGTATTAGACCCTGAGTTAGAAATTACAAAAGCTATAAAAACATAAATAATAAAAGGCAAGAAAGAAAGTTATTGAAATTATAGAAAACCATTCGATGGTTGATCTTTTCAGAGAGTTGCATCAAGATAGTAAAAGATACTTGGAGAAAACAGGCTTTGTTAGAATTTTTTCTCTCATTTTAAACAATTTGTAATCTAGTACCCATATATCAGCTATTGAGTCAGGTTACAGGTCCGACCACTCATTCTCTATAATTGTTTTAAAATTTAATGAATTCTGGTGGGGAAAGGATTGTGTTAATTCAATTCATTCGTCTTTTTTATATGGGTAAGATTATGATCTTCAAATGGTGAAATAAAGGTTATTCCAGATACAAAAAGTTCAGTACTCTCTTCCAGTTTATAATCCTAATGCGATAATTAATATACCAGATATAGAAAATGTTATTGATGACTTGTTTTAAATTTACTTTTTTTAACATTATTAATGGAAATCAGAGATAAAAAGTATAGCATATTCATCTTAAAGAAAGAAATAGCAATGTAGGAAGGAATATAATCTACACTAAAAAATATGATATAAAAAAATACTGACGAGCAGGAACATGTAGATATTAAAGAATTAGAAATTAAGAAAACGGAATCGGAAAATATTAGATTGAGGAAGATAAAAGGTAGTATTATAAATATTAGATCTAGGACAAGAGGAAAGGAGAAATTCATAACCAACATGTATCCCCAAGGGAGATAAACCTAGGCAGTTTATAAAAAATTGGCAATCGGTAACATCATTGAATATTGTTTATAAAATAGCATCCGGATCTATATATATACATGTACAGTGGAAACGGACCAAGATTCAAAGATATGTGATTCTGATACAATTCCTTCATTTCAAGAGAGAAGTTTTATAGGAAAATGCTTTATCATCCTTTGAGAATAATTTCACCCATTAGTTGAAAATATCAATTTACTGACTGGAGGAAATTAAGAAGTTAACCGACAAAACAAAATCTGGAGACCTGATGACAAACTTTTGTGGAACTTCTTGCTAATCTTTAACCAATTATTAAACATAATAATTTGACACTCACCATTCCAAGACATCTCCCGGAGTCACCAATCAGAGGAAACGTATCGCCTCCCTTTTTAAGCGATTTGATCTAATGTAATCAACAGTGCAATAAATAAGTAAAAACCAAAAATATTCAAACTTTTTTCATGGCATGATGTACGACTAGTATTCATGTAAGATCCTCAGGTGCATAAATTTACTGACAAGAATGCCATCCTTAACAATGACCCGAAGGATCTTTCTCAAATTTCACATGAAAGTTCCCCATGCTCTGTTGTTAGGTTAATTTAATTTTCAGACTGATCAGAAAACAAAGACGGCCAATAGGCAGCCATCTTGAATTTTGATTTTTTAAAGTTTGTTATTGCTATTTCTCAGAAGTACTAAAATTTCACATGAGGGTTCTTCATGGTCCCTTGTTATGTATTATATTTTTTTAGGACTGATAGGAAAATCAAGATGGCAACCAGACAGCCATCTTGAATTTTGACAGGATACTTTTGTTAATTATCACTATTAATATGTTAAAAACTTCAAACACCAATATCCTAAGAACCATTTGGACTAGAGTCATGATACTTGGGTATGTTATGTAGACCAGCAGTGTAAATCGTTTTCTTTATTACAGTAATGAGGTTAAAGGTCAACTTTAACTGCTAGTTGGGGGTCAAAAGTCAACATGGGTTAAAAACTTTAACAATCTTCTTCTCAAGTTCCATAAGGCCCAGGGTCATGATATTTGGCCAGTAGGTATCAGGGATAGAATGCTATAAAGACCTACTCTCAAGGTCACAGGAGTCAAAAATGTTAAAATCTTCAAACGAGGATATCCTTAGAACCTTTGGTCTAGAGTCATGATACTTGGGTATGTTATGTAGACCAGCAGTGAGAATCTTTTTCTTCATTATAGTAATGAGGCCAAATGTCATCTTGAAGTGCTAGCATGAGTCAAAGGTCAATGTGGGTTAAAAGCTTTAAAATTACAATTTTCAATTTCAAACAACAATATCTTAAGCGTTTAAGAGATGTTAAAATGTCTTGTGTTCTAGTTACCAAATTTGGTCTGAAGTTACTTATATGTAAGTTTCATGTAACAAAAGAATCAGGTGAGCGATACAGGCCCTCTGAGCCTCTTGTTTATGTATGTTCTCCTTGTTAAAAATAACCAAATGAGAATTCATTCGTCATTGACAGCACTTCTTATTATGTAAGAATTACAAAGGACCTGTTACAGGAACAAAAGAATTTTGCCCACAAAGCAATTTAACCATTACTGGGTTATATTTGTAGCTCCCTAAGACACGACCCATGAGATATTTTTTTTTAATTCAAAAGGTCCCCAGGGCCTGTGCTATCAACTATTTAGTGCCGCCTTCCAAAGGTGTCTTAGGGAGCTACAAATATAACCCAGTAATGGTTAAATTGCTTTGTGGGCAAAAATCTTTTGTTCCTGTAACAGGTCCTTTCTAGCATGTTGCATACGGTTTTCAGTTCCTATTTAATTACATTTGTCATATTACCAATTAACATTACATTACGAGGTTTAAGTTAATGTACAAGATTCCCGTTTAGGATTTCCTACATGGGACTAGGTAATAGTACCTAGAAGGAGATGGAGAGCAAAGAAGATAAAAGATAATCTTTTGTAGATCTGATAAAGATCTTTCATGGTGGGGGCCAAGATCCTTCAATATATCTTGTTTTAAAGCTGTAATCAACACCTCAAAAGGGAAAAATTATTCCATTTAAAAACTAGAGCTGTCGCCTATGGGCTAACTAATACCCCCCACATTCCGGCTGCTTGTTGCCCCTGTAGGTGCTAAATAAACAAGTGAAAAATATACAGAAAGATCAAGGGTCATGAGAAAGTCTAACCTCACAGACCGATGGAAAAGACAGACACTGTTTCTGTGACCTTTGACCCCATCACCTTGGAATTTTGTCATAATGTAGCTTGCATCAACGCTACATATATCCAAGGTATGTGTATACAAAATACCTACATTTCCGAGATAATTAACCATTTCAGTAATGAAATTCATTCATAATCTTTGACCTTTGATCCCATGACCTCAGAAGTTTGTCAGTAGAGTAGTTTTCATTTATCCCTACAATAGTCTTTGTTTGTTTGTTTATGTTTAACGGCCCATCTTCGGCTGTGGTCATTTAGGGCCATGGTGATTTATTTTTTTATTTTTCATTTTTTTTAACAAACATGTGAGTAGCGAAGATAAAATCAGATAAAAAGGTTCATTTTAAAAGCATTTGCATTGTATGTGTAAATAATTAAAATAAAAAGGGAGTTAAGATAATAAAAGAGATGACGAATAGATGTAATATGGACTATGTGATATACATAACGTCAAAAAGGGTAAGGTGGGTTAAAAGACATCAGAGTCTATAGAATAGACCAATGTCTTTCAAATAGTTAAATAATGCCTTATAAAGCAATCTTTGCTCCTTCTGCAGAGTATTACACTACCTTAGCTATGTGTACTTCATCCTTCTCCAGACCATCGACCTGGCACAACTTTTTGGCCACACCAATACAAGGGATGTCTAGGATGACACCAAGATGACAAGCCAGCCCAAATTCTGCAAGGACATAAAAGGCAGACTATTTTTACATAGACATAGAGAAAAGACTGTTTCATCCATGTGACTAGTCGAAATATGGAAAAGAGACAGAAAAAAAGATTTTAGTCAAGGAAAAGGCAATTTTTTAATGAATTTGTGGTCGTTCAACCAAACAACCGCCTATATTTTCTTGTTGTTAAGTTATCCATCCATCAGACAAAATGTTCAAAGTGGGTTTTTTAAATTTATGAAGAGCTGTTTTCAAAATATGTTCCTAATTTTAAAATGTTTCTTAACGTTAATAACCACCTCCAAACGTCAAAAACGTGTTTATAATCAGTGTAATTGGAGTTTAAAACAAGAGATCCCAGAGGGATCTTGGCGCCCACCTTTGTACCATCTTCATTAGTTCTTTGTCAGTTCGATCTTTTCTCTTCTTTCCTCTAATCTGTTTGATCGAGTCATGTTAACAGTAAATGCACCTTGAGGTAACTTTTGATCTAAACTTAATACTGATGTGTATGAAAGCCAACCTTCAAAGTGAGTTTGTCATTTCACATATTTACTAGTACAGTACTTAATACATGTGAAAGAAATAGAATCGATCATTGCAATATGAGAAAGATCTGTTTAGTTCTTCTTTTAATCCATTCTGTTTTTATGATCAGTCTCAAAATGTAACATACACAACGAGGGATCAAGGGGAACCTACATTTAAAATTTGAGAAAGATCCCTCCCGTACTTCCCGAGAAATAGCAAAACAAACTTTAACTATCAAAATCCAAGATGGCTGCCTATCGGCCATGTTGTTTATCCGATCAGTCTCTAAAATTGCCCTGCACAGCTAGGACCAAGGGGAACCTACATGTAAGATTTAAGAAATATCCCTCTAGTTCTTCCGGAGAAATAGCGATAACAAACTTTCAATATCAAAATCCAATATGGCTGCCTGTCGGCCATGTTGTTTATCCGATCAGTCTCAAAAGTTGCCCTGCACAGCTTAGGACCAAGGGGAACCTACATTTAAAATTTGAGAAAGATCCCTATAGTACTTCTTGAGAAATAGCGATAACAAACTTTCAATATCAAAATCCAAGATGGCTGCCTGTCGGCCATGTTGTTTATCCGATCAGTCTCAAAAGCTGCCCTGCACAGCTAAGGACCAAGGGGAACCTGCATATAAAATTTGAGAAAGATCCCTCTGGTAATTTCTTGAGAAATACCGATAACAAGAATTGTTTACGGACGGACGACGGACGACAGACGACGGACCACGGACGCAGGGTGATTCGAATACCCCACTATCAGATGATGGTGGGCTAATAAAGGCCTTTATTTTCCAGGCTTGACTGATTGCTTCGGATAAATACAATGTTCAAGTCGTAGCTTTGTATTTCTCTGACTAGGGCACCCGCTGTCGGTAGCCAAAGTAGCTATTGGCTCTTTTCATTTTTTCATTGGGTACCAGCTTGAAAAATAAAAGACAATATGCAAGTAAATCCCAGAAAAACATTCTGTCCACCACTTGTGTACTATGGTCGACACCAATTGTGTATACAGGATCAGAGCTGACACAGTTCAGCGTGTGCTGCACAACTGCAAGCCATTGCTTTTGTCTAAGATGTCAAGGCAATTATTGTAAGCCTTAGATAACATTCAAATCAAATCCCTCTGTTCATACAGGAGGAGAAGGTTTTTAAACATTTTCCCCTATGTTCTCCCTAATGGGCTCCCCCCAACTCTCTGCCCCAGGGAGCCAAGCCCTCCATTTATAAATAAAAAATGAATTCCCCTTGCCCCTTGGCATGCCCAAGAACATTCTAGACAAAATTTGGTTAAAGTCCCTCCATTTGTACAGAAGGAGAGGAATTTTAAAGATTTACCTCAATTTCTCGCCCCTCTACCGCAGGGGTTGGCACACCCTCAATTATATACATTATTGAATTCCCTTTGGCCCAGGATACTCCATGTCAAATTTAGTTAAAATCCACTTAGCCGTTCAGGACTAGTTAGCATTATTAAGAGAAGATTGATGGACGGCCGGCCGGACAACTGCCGGACGACAGAAGCCACCTATGCAAAAAGAGCAGGTGAGCTAAAAATGAGATTTAAAATGAGAATTATCACTTAAAATATCTTTAATCTGAAAAAATGTGATGTTACAAATAATCTGATGTACAATTTACATTTAATTGGTGAAAATCAATTCCTGGGATTTAATTTTTAGGTCACCAGAGTCACTCTTATACTTAAGGGGTTGACGCCTTAGGTGGCTAATTAGGGGAGGGACCATATGTGGTCACTGTGTGCAAAATCTTCAAAAACAGCTTTGAAACTAACTGGTGGATTTGGAACAACATTCATAAAATAATCCATAGATGCTGAGGATCAGAATTTATACTTAAGGACTTCCCACCCTTCGTAATACACATGTTTTTCTTGTCGTATTTTCGTGTCGTCATTTCCATATTGCGTATCGGGCATTCCATTACCGTAGTGTAAATGATAGTAACACCGGGTAAACAATAGTACACGTGCGTGACGATGATATGTCAACACCCGATATCGAGACTTAACTTGGAAATGTGTAATCACACATACTGAACTTCTAAAATAAAGCTTAGGATAGAAAGACATTAATTAACTCACGGGAAGACACTGACATAAGATCAGACGACTTCAAGAAGGTCGTATATGAGGCGCATGGAATGCAGACTGATGTATTTTGTTTACCGACCTCACCTGTACGTATCACGTGCTTACAGAAGTTCACAAGCTCTTGGTCGCTGCGACTTTTATTGCCGAGCGAGTTACGCTCTGTCAGATAAATCGTTTCACAAATGCACTTACAATAACTCTGTGAAAATAGTGGTTTGTAAAACATCAAGATCCCTATAAAATGCAAGTGCATGTGCGTGCACATGATAACAGTATACCATGCAATAGCCTATGGTTACATATGTACCTGATATGTAAATATACCATGTGTAAGCGGGCTATGGAATGATGTCCAAAGTGTACGTGATTGAGAGTAATTTTGTTCATGAAAGAACAGTAAATTGACAATTGAATATAGTAATTTAATTTATTTCCGTTGTTTTTGGTATTGTAAAGAAAATAAGTGTCATTGTATAAATTCTATCCCTCAGCAAAAAGTACCGATATTTTTCAAGGTAGACAACTCTCATCAGGATAAAAATTATTGTAAAATGTAAAATAAATGAATTATAATGACTGTGTGTATTTGGTTTAATTTTTCACTCTTTTTGTATGACACTATGTGTCCTGTTTGCTTTAAGCTTGTATTTAGTGACTTTTATCCATACAATTTCAATAAAAAATGCTTTTTGTAACATGTTGTAGATATTTTATGATAAATAAAATATTTATAGGGTTGATTAGCAATGTTTCTTTTCATTATTTTATTGTTGTAATAGTTTTGAAAAATGCCACGCACTCAAAAAAATGTGAAAGTGTTGAATTTGACAAAAATTCTATTTTTCTGTATTTTTTACAAAAAAATCCCCAGATTATCGGAATGCTTACATTTTCATAAAATTACCTCTAAAAAAAAAAAAAAAAAAATCCCCCAGCCAAATATTATATATATATATATAATACTGATAAGTATATACAGATATATATAAATAAATTGATAGGAACTGCCAGGGTTGGGGAGCCCTGGAGTCAGCCCCCAAAATAAAATGGTGTCCTCACACAGGAGGGCTCTCATTTATTTTTCTCTGCTAATTTTATCTAAATTCAAATATTTAAATTTCATAATGTTTTTTCATCAATATAACATTCAGAAATTTGATTGGGAAATAAAACATTTGTACATAGAGTATTGGTCATCTACAGAACAAGAACATACTACCACATTTCACACACAGCACACACATCCAGACGTGTTTACATATATACATCAGTATCATAATCACTAAACATTAACAAAACACTTATACACACACACATATACATACATACATAACATACACTCCTACGACCTACATACGTACATACATACATGCATACACATGCACACACATGCACATACATACACACTAACATCAGCAAGTATACATGCACTTACATACGTACACATGCATGTAAATACAAACATACATGCCCATTATTGCATGTATCCATATAAGCACCAGAAAATACATAAAATGTTCATGCACTCTACTAACCCGTATTGTGTTTGTTTTTGGAGAGAGAAATATCAATTAACAAAAAGAGAAATTGTAGCATACAAAAAATCCTCAAAATAAATCCTTCCATTCCATCCATCTTTGATCAAATGTTTCATTGTATATTTTTTTTACTGATAAAGCTTTCTCAATATTATATCTGAAATCAAGAAACTCATTCAAACCATTTAAACTTAACTTCTGTTTTTTTCTGGAAACAGTATATATATAATATTTTGTATACAAAATAATATAGTTAATGGGCATTTTCAGTAATTTTCAGTAATTTTCAGTAATTCCAAAAAGTATTGTTTCCAACTTAAAATCAATGATTTCCTTTTTCTGCTAAATAATCTCTCTTTTAAATCTTGCCATAGCTTTAAGGACTGTGGACATTCCCAGAATAGATGTTCTGTAGTTTCTATTTCTATTTTACACATATTACAGATATTGTCATTTGACATCCCAATAGTATTTAAATAGTTTTTAATTGGGAGGATACAATTTTGTAATCTGTATTGAAACCATTGCAGTGTTGTGTCTTTTGTAACTTTAAAGACAATACTATATGAACTTTTCCAATCTATATTTCTAAAATTTTCTTTCAATACCCATTTTCTTTCAGCTGTATTTACTAATTTAATTTTACTATTTAATATGTCATGCATGTCTTTACAACCTTTTTTTCTTTATGATAATATAAATATGACTTGGTATGAAGGGCCTCTCCAAAGTTGTTTCTGCAGTTAAGTTATAATTTAATTGTTTACAACATTGCCTAATAGACTGGCATATACTATGATAAATCAAGAAGTTTCCAGAGT